TATGTATTTTACATGAACACATTAACATTACCTTGTTCAATATTGGTCATTATCAAAATTCTTCAAAAAAATAATCATTTTGTTATTAACATTTACAAACTTCACCTACAAACTGTTAGAATAAACAAAAATGACACACAATGTCAACTTTTGCTTTTTTTGAAACGCAGCCTACTAGATATTTGAGTGAAATTTTTATAGAATAATATGAGCCGACAATTTGTCAAATTATTATTTTTATTTGTTAATTTTGGACAGATTTAGGATCTCCTGTACCATAGTGCATTGTAAGAAACATTCAGAAAACTGACCTGTGCAGTAGAAATCTTCAAATTGGAGTGTGTGAATACGTTGAATGTGAAAGGAATACAATTGATTTTCACTTTTCTTTAACTTTATCTTACCTGACCTGCAACCACTCGCCTATTTCTTGTTGGATTTTACTCGATACAATTTAAAATGTGTTCTTCTAAAAGAACTTTATTTTTAATTCATGAAACTGAACAATTTAAATTGACTAAATGAGATACCACTTTTTGAGTTAAACAACCTTATGAGATTGTCCTTCTCATTCATTGACATTTTAGGACCGTGCTTTTTAACCAATCTGTATTTTTGTTTTATTTCAGCTTTGCTATTAATGATAACTGGCGGTACAACTATAGTGTGGCAATCTCCAGCAATAATAAAATTCAAATCGAACGATACAAATATTAACCCATTGGGTAGGCCAATCGAAACCATTGAAATATCAATACTAACAGGAGTGCCCATGATGATTTCACTCATTGGAGCATTGGTAATACCAAAACTGGGAGACTTGATTGGAAGAAAAACAGCACTGCAATATTTAGGACTAGTCATGTTGCTAACTTTAATTGGATTAGCTTTCAACGATAGATTTTATTTATTTGTTATTTTAATTAGTTTTTTAAGCATCATTTTCAACGGTATTTGGGGATTGCTTCCCATTTATTTTATGGAGGTTTTAGAGGATCATAACAGAGCTAAATTTGGTTGTTTTCTGGCTGTATGTATTCCTCTAGGGCAGCTGTATTGTTATATTGTCGGTTCGGCTTTCAGCATAAGATATTTCACTCTTCTGAACGCGCTACCGTTAGTTCCTTTTCTTTTGCTCTCCCTTTTTGTTCCAGAAAGTCCCGTATATTCTTTGTCGAAAGGAAAACAAGACGATTGTATGGAAACTTTAAAAATGTTGAGAAACAACAAAAGTGAAACGGAAATTCAAGATGATTTTGACAAAATAAGAATTGCTCTAGAAGATCAATCTAAAAGTAAAAATTTTTCTTTGGTTACCATTTTCAACACGAAAGCTGGTAGATTAGGTTATTGTTTGGGCATATTACCAATGCTTGTACAATATCTCTCAGGAGTACCAACTATTATGTCACTAATGGCTCCTACTTTTAACGAAATTGGGATTATATCTGGAAATACCATTGCTATAATTGTGGGAACAGTTAAAGTATTAATTTATTTATTTATATCGTTAGTTATTGAAAGAATCGGAAGAAGGCCTTTGCTCCTTGTATCATCAGTAGGAGCTGGACTATCAGTATCACTAGTAGGAGTTTATTTTTACATAAAAGAAATTAATTCTACAGCGCTAGATCAATTTCAATTTTTTCCGATATTGGCCATTATAGCTTACTTTGTTATGTTTTCTATAGGTCTCGGGCCTATTCCTATAGCCATGATAAGTGAAATGTTTCCTGCCGATCTTAGGCCAATGGGTAATGGTTGCATAACTACTAGTAGTGGATTTGTTCTTTCCGTAGTCAACTTCTCCTTTCCTCTTCTAGTCGAAAATATCGGAACGCACTGGTGCATGTTTATTTTTGCTCTCAATTGTTTCTTGGGTGCGTTGCTGATTTATTTTGTCATGCCTGAAACTAAAGGGAAGAGTGTTGTGGAGATACAGAAGATATTGAAGGAATATTAAATTCGTTTTATAAGAAAAAAATGTGAAATAATAATTGGTGTGGTTTTCTTTATTAAGCAGAAGTTAAGGTATCAACATTATTTGGTTATATGCCCTAAAAGATTGGCTTTTAGCATTTAAAAGTCTATTATACATTATACAATTTTAAGCTTATTCTAAATGTAATTCTCAGATAAACAAAAGATATAGATAGGTAATTTGAGTCGTTTTCTTTGAAGCCAATATACATATATTTTCAAAACATTTAACTACAGTATAACTAATCATACAGTAATCCCACTCTCGGGCGGCGCCTTTGATCTTTTTCAACACGCGCGTACTTCATGTTACTTGAGAGACGCCATTTTGCCGGGGGGAAGATCAGGTACGGCTTTGCTCTTAGTAGCATATCAGAGGTGGCTTTCTTATATTTTAAAAGAATTTCTGGTTTTTATATAATTATTATTATTATTATAATACTAAAATAATAAGATTGGATGAAAATAGGTACTAAATAAAAAAAGTATTCCTAATTCAGCCCTAGGAAAAAATGTTTATTACAAAAAATATTCTTTTTAAATGACAGTTTGGTTATCGTTCTTTGGCGTGTGTAGTTGCCAGAGACATGGCGAGTATTTCTGTATGTCATAGTCTACTCTAGAATCTTTTGCTATGGATAAGTTATTTCGTTACAAAACATTATTTTCGATTCCTTTTCTGGGAAAGTTATATATTTTTTTAATATGCAACTCGTTTATTAAAAGTTTCATACTTATATTTTTATGATTTTTCCAGTGAATAAAATCTACCCAAACTATAGAAGTCGATAAACTGAAACTCAAATCTCAAACTTTATGATCAATTTCAAATGAATTTATATATTAAATTATCCCACTTGGTCTTATATTTTATTAACAAAGTTCTTTCTTTATCGTTAGTTTATTTGACGATTTGCATTATTAAATTATAAAAAAAAATTATGGTTCGTTAACATTTCTACAATACCAATTTTATATCTGGGTAATAAGGCAGAAGAATTCAAAATAAAACAAGAAATAAATCAATTTGTGTTTCCATATATCGACGCTTAAGATGTGATTCCTCGTAAGTATTAAAACGCAACTTTTCAGGAGAGGAGAAAAACTGTATAAAAACGTTTTTTTACACTGGATGATTTACAACTGAAATATTTATCTATTACAACAAATTATATTATTCTTAGCTGACAATTAAGCATTGACACGATTTACTTTTTTTTAAATGCACATACGAGGTATCACGTTTTAAAAATTATATAAAAATGTAGTGTACGTAAAATCACTCTTAGTGAGAGGTGCAAAATTAAACCATTTTTGCAAAAAGATTCTTTATTTTAAGAAATACTACACAAAAAACTTATGCAAACTATAACAATTATTCCATTGTTTCTTAATGTTGAACTCAAATTAAAAAATATAAAACAAGAATTTAACAAAATAATGGCAAGAAAGGTATTCTTTTTATTCTCCCAAATGGGGCAAGTTATCATAAAAAGAGTGACAGTCTTTAGGAAGCACAGCCTTCAATTGTTGAAGATGGTCCCATTTTTGTTTCTTAATTTTTAATGGTTTGCTTCTCAATTGTGGAAACGTTTTGAGGTCAGAAACAGATTTGTTATCTTTCTTTCTTCCTGGAAGGTTCTTAAATTTTTTGTCAAAGCCAAGTTTAACTTAAATACTGCCATCTGGACTATATTTTATGACTTTAATATTATTAACTGTCGGATCATTTACTTTCTTGCCAGGCCTAATGAAAGCAAACTTTTGATTTTGGGAGTAGTCCTTGACGAAACCATGAGAGATGTTTTTAACTTTATAGGGTTTTTTTTGTCTGGCTTCTTCAGTGATTCTGCAGTAGTTACTAGGCAAATAAATTGACTTGTTTTTTAGCTTTCTTTCGATTAGCGCGTGAACCGAATCAGCTTCCATTTGGGTGTGTCCCTTCTCTAAATATTTCTGATAAATACAAATATTTTTGTGGACACTTAAACTTAATAAAGCATTAGACAAGACTGAATTTTTATTTTGATATCCACATCCGTCGCTCCAAATAATTAAAGGTTTTGAAATATCTTCCAGGTCAAGAATGTAATCAACTATGCAACTTGCAAAGGTATTGGCAGTTAAATCTGCTTCACACTCGTTGAACCAGTAGCAGCAGCAATGATGTGTGGTTATGTTGAAAATCGTAAAATTATGGCAAAGTAGTTTGGTTTTATAATACAGGGCAGAGGCGTTCAAAAAGGGACAAACTTTAACTGCTTGAACATCCTGTGTCAAAACAATTGCTGCACCTTGTTGACCCATCAATTTGTCCTTGGCCTTTTCTTCTTTTGATGTGATTTTGATAATCAGCATCACTTATATTTTTTGTTTCATAGCCGCAGCAGATATCGCATTTATCCTTTTTTGGCTGTTGAACTGAAATATTTTTTTCTTTGATCATATAATCAAAAGTAAATCTAGAAACTGGCTTTACTGTAGGATCTTTTTCACTGCACATCTTAGAGTATTCTCGGTAAACCGCTGTCATAGAATCCTCATAAATTGGCTCAATATAAACTTTTCTAGTTGATTGTCTACAATAGTGAGAGGGTAATTTTAGCAATAAATCTAAAAATTCTAACAGGTATTGTTTAGCTAGTCTGACTAAACTTGTGTCATGTGCTCTTATCTTTCTTCTAGAAGCATTAACACTCTCTTGGGATGGAAGTATCCCGGATTGAGATTGAGATACCCAATTAGAAACAGTCCATTCAGTTAGTGCAAAGGTTGAAAGGAAAAATGGTTTACATACAGGTAAAATTTGTCCGTTGACATCCTTTATTGTGTATTTTAAGCTACTAGAACGTCATGTTTTCTCACCTGCACCTTTAGTCGATCTTGCCGTTATACTTTTAAGAACAAGAGAAGCAATGTACACCTTTTTCTGGTCCCAGCTCATATCTGACCAAAACTTTTTAAAGAGTTTTTGTCTGTTCTCTTCTGAAATTGTGTGACATTTGCGAGTCTTGGACTTCTTACACAAGGTTGAACCACAGCGTGGCCCTATTTTTCTTTCTTCTTTTTATTCCTCTCTTTGCTGGCGTATTTTTCGGCCTGCTCCAACCAACGTATGCCTTTCCTTCTTGTCTTATTTTTTTGTTTTTAAAGTCAGTCCACTTCTCTTCCGTTGCCATACCTTTCCTTTTTCTACTTTTTAAAATGACAGCATCGGAATCCGACGATTCTGCCGTGCTTTCATCTGGTACAAAATTAGGGTCACGTTGTTCTTGTACTGTTTGAGTGCATTCTTCTACTTGTTCGTTTCCTTTCTCTTTCACTATTTGAGTATGTTCTTCTGTTTCTGGTGCATGCGTATTAAGATTTGATTTTGTTGATTGGCTATGTTGCCCAACTTCCTCTTCAGGATTGATGTTATTTGTGAATTGTAGAACATCAATAAACTCCAAATATTTTGTTATTCGTTCGTCAGCTTCCGGGTCTAATGGTAGTAAATCATTTTGAGTAGGGTCAGTCATGTTATTTAATATTATGTCGATAACATTATTATTACCGCTGCTGATATTTAAGGAGGAATCACTTATTAGTGGTAAAGAGATTCCTTCGGGAGCATT